TTCTGACTTTTTAAATTAACATGAGCATTTTTCCTTTGACTGATGCTCTCCCAGGCCATAACAGAGAGTTGGATTGGAAGTCGAGTAGCTAGGACTCAAATAGGCACCCATATGGGATGCTGGCACTGCAGGCAGTGGCTTTACCTGCTATGCCACAGCGCTGGGCCCCAGCATTCATTTCTTAAGAATGAATACATTATCCTATACAAGCATAATTCCATTAACACAACTATGATAATATCTAATAATAGTTTGTATTCAGACTTTCACAATTGTATCAAAGATGTCTTTTCCATAAGTTTTTTTTTTTTTCCTTTTTTAAGATATATTTATTTGAAAGGCAGAGTTACAGAGAGAGGTAGAGACAGAGGGGGATAGATCTTCCATCCACTAGTTGAAATGGCCACAATGACCAGGGCTCGGCCAGGACAAAACCAGGACCCAGGAGCTTCTCCTGAGTTTTCCATGTGGGTGCAGGGACCCTAGCACTTGAGCCATCCTCCGCTGCTTTATCAGGTATATTAGCAAGGAGCTAGATTAGAAGTAGAGCAGGGGCCGGTGCCATGGCATAGCAGATAAAGCCACTGTCTGCAGTGCCAGCATCCCATGCAGGCGCTAGTTCAAGTCCCGGCTGCTCCACTTTCGAATCAGCTCTCTGCTATGGCCTGGGAAAGGAATGGAAGATGGCCTAAGTCCTTGGGCCCCTGATCCCGCATGGGAGACCTGAAAGAAGCTCCTGGCTCTTGGCTTCAGATGAGCACAGCTCAGCCGTTGTGTCTAAATGGAGAGTGAACCAGAGGATGGACGATCTCTCTCTCTCTCTCTCTCTCTCAATCTCTCAATCTCTCTTCTTTCTTGTAAGTCTTGTACGTCTCTTATAAGTCTTTCAAATAAATAATAAATAAATCTTAAAAAAAAAAAAAAAACTGCTAGTCCCCAGCCTTTCCAGGCATCTGGGGAGTCAATTAGTGGATAGCAACTAGCGTGCACGCTCATTCTAGCAAGAGCTAGCTTGCTCCCATGCTCTCTTCTCTCCCTGCCTCACAAAATTACTAATAAAAAGAGTCAGCTAAGGGGTCGGCAATGTTGTGCAGTGGGTTAAAGCTCCACCCTGCAAAGCTGCCAGCATAGGCACTGGTTCAAAACCCAACTGCTCCACTTTAAAAAAAAAAAAAAGATTTATTTATTTATTTGAAAGGCAGAGTTACAAAGAGGCACAGGCAGAAAGAGAGAGGTCTTCCATCTGCTGGTTTCCCACGTGGGTGCAGGGGCCCAAGGACTTGGGCCATCTTCTGCTGCTTTCCCAGGCCATAGCAGAGAGCTAGATTGGAAGTGGAGCAGCTGGAACTTGAACCGGTATCCACATGGGATGCCATTACTGCAGGTGGGCGGCTTTACCCACTGCGGCACAGCACTGGCCCCATAGAAGCCAGGAATTCAGTCCAGGTCTTGCACCTGTGTGGCAAGAGGCAAGACCTCAATTATTTGAGCCATCACCACTGCCTACTAGAATGTACATTAGTGGGAAACTGGAATCAGGAGCTGGAGCTAAGTAGAATACAGGCAATATGGGATATGGGCTTAAACCACTAGGCCAAACCCTTGCCTCAGAGATGGCTTTTAAATGTCGATTGCTTGATTGATTGGATCCAGGCTCCAATCTAGGTTCACGTATTGTAATTGACTGTTTTAAACATACTTGTACTTTTTAAATTAATTTTCTTCAAAGTTTTTTTTTAATTTGAATGATTTAGTGAAGAGAGATAGACCTCTCTTTTCACTGTTTACTCCTCAAATGCTCATAATGACCATGGCTGAGAGGGGGCTGAAGCCAGGAGCTGGAAGCTCAGTCTAGATCTCCCATGTGGGTGACAGGGACCCAACTATTTGAGCTACCACCTTCTGCTTCCCACCGTATGCAGTAGCAGGAAACTAGAATTGGTAGTGGAGCTGGGACTCAATCCCAGGTGTTCTGTTACAGGATGTGGGTGGCCATCCTAATTGCCAGGCTGAACACCTGCCTCCATTTTTTTAAAAATGATTTATTTATTTATTTGAAACAGAGAGAGAGGGAGAGACAAGAGAGATCGAGAAATCTATTCACTGGTTCACTCCCCAGTTGGGCTGGGCTGATCTGGGCTGAAACCAGGAGGCCTAAAATATATAAGTGTCTCCCACATGGGTGACACGGGCCTAAGTACTTGGGCCATCTTCTGTTACTTTCCCAGCCACGTTAGCCGGGAGCTGGATTGGACGTGCAGCAGCCAGGCACAAAGTGGGGCCCATTAGGGATACTGGCATTGCAGGAGGCGACTTAACCATCTATACCACAATGTTGGCCCCATCTCTTAAAAGATTTACTTATTTGTAAGGCAGAATGACAGGGAGATGAAGAGAAAGACATGCACACAGAGATACCCCCATTTTATAGGTGAAGTTATTTATTTTTAAAAGATTTTATTTATTTGAGAGGCAGAGTTACAGGGAGAGGGAGATGAAGAGAGAAAGTTCTTCCATCTGCTGGGTCGCCCCCCAAATGGCTGCAATGATCAGAGCTCCACTGCTTTCCCAGGCCTTACGCAGAGAGCTGGATCTAAAGAGGAGCAGCTGGGACATGAACTGGCAGCCATATGGGATGCTGGTGCCACAGGCAGAGGCTTAGCTGATTATACCATAGTGCAGGCCCCAGATGAAGTTATTTAATCACTTTCCTAATGCTGAATTTACAGGTTGTTTCTGAGTAACAGTAACCTTTCACAAATAATTAGTATAAGGATCTTTCCATATATAAAATTCTTTTTTAAAAAAATTTATTTATTTATTTGAAAGGCAGAGGTACATAGAGAGGAGAGAGAGAGAGAATGAGCTTCCATCTGCTGGTTCACTTCCCAAATGGCTGCAGTGGCTGGGGCTGGGCCAGGCTGAAGCCAGGAGCCAGGAACTTCTTTCAGGTCTCCCACGTAGGTTCAGGGGCCCAAGTACTTGGGCCATCTTCTGCTGCTTTCCAAGGCACATTAGAAGGGAGCTGGATCAGAAGTGGGGCAGCTGGGACTTGAACTGGCATACATATGGGATGCTGACAGTGCACGTGGAGGCTTAACCTTTTACACCGCATCACTGACCTCATCCTGTTTTTTATTTTTAAAAGATTTCTATACTTATTTGAAAGAGTTAGAGAGAAGGAGGGAGAGAGAGAGAGAGAGAGAGAACGAATGAATGAATCTTCTGTCTGTTGATTTACTACGCATATGGCCACAACAGCCAGGGCTGGGCCAGACTGAAGTCAGGAGCCAAGAGCCTCATTTGGGGTCTCCTATGTAGATGCAGGGGCCCAAGCATATGGGCCATCCTCTGCGGATTTCCCAGGTGCATTAGCAGGGACCTGTTTTGGAAGTGGCTCAGCTGGAACTCAAACTGGGGCCTATATGGGATGCTAGCGCTGCAGGTGGCAGTTTAACACAAAGAGCCACAGCATCAGCCCTGAATTATTTCTTACAATTGGAATTGTTAGAACTATTGCATATAAACTTTTTTTTTAAATTTATTTATTTATTTGAAAGTCAGAGTTACACAGAGAGAGGAGTGGCAGAGAGAGAGAGAGAGAGGTCTTCCATCCGATGGTTCATTCCCCAATGGCCGCAACGGTCGGAGCTGTGCCGATCCGAAGCCAGGAGCCAGGAGCTTCTTCTGGGTCTCCCACGTGGGTGCAGGGGCCCAAGAACTTAGGCCATCCTCTACTGCTTTCCCAGGCCATAGCAGAGAGCTGGATAGGAAGTGGAGCAGCCGGGTTTCGAACCGGCGCCCATATGGGATGCCAACGCTTCAGGCCAGGGCGTTAACCCACCACACCACAGCACCAGCCCCAACTTTTTTTTTTTTTTTTTAATAAAGTGCTTGATGCATTTTGTTCTTTAGAATAGATCCATTTATTTATACTTCCATGAACATTTTGTAATGATGCTATCTTACCTAACTTTGGGTGGCTCTAAGGGACTGGCTCTGTGGCGTAGTAGACTAGTCCTCTGCCTGTGGTGCCAGCTTCCCGTATGGACAGCTGTTTGTGTCCTGGCTGCTCCTCTTCCGATCCAGCCCTCTGCTTATGGTCTGGGAAAGCAGAAGATGATATAAGAACTTGGTCCCTTGCACTCACACGGGAGACCCGGAGGAGGCTTTTGGCTTCTGGCTCAGGTCGGTCCGGCTCCAGCCATTGCGGCTATTTGGGGAGTGAACCAGTGGATGGAAGACCTTTCTCTCTGTCTCTCCCTCTATTTGACTGGGGTTCTGCCTCTCAAATAAATTAAAAAAAAATTTTTTTTTAAAAAGAAGTATTGCATATGCTAAAACTTTTTTTTCCCTGAGTTTGTTGGCACAGATGGTTTTTCTGATTTTTTTACTTGTTTAAGATACATGTATTTCGGTTTTTATAAGTTGTCCTGTCATGGATAATTTGTATCTTAGAGTTCTTAGTATGATTTTTATATTTAATGGGGATTAACCTTATATCTGTTGCAGATGTTTTCTTATAAATAGACCTGTGGTATTCTTTTAAATATGTAGGTCTTTTAACTGAATTCTATGTGGACACTTTGGTTTTATATACATAATGTAAGATATTTTACAATAATATTTTGTGAGCTTTGATATAATAAGTGGGTCTTCTGAGCCCCTTCCTGCTCATTTGGTGCTATCTTCTCTAGTCACTTGTCAGTAATTTTTCTGAATGCAAGATTTTTCTCTCCCTGCTCATGAAAAGATAAAATTAGGTATGTTTGTATCTTCTAAGTTTTTGTTTTATTTAATTGCACACAGTACTTTGAATAGTTAATGTTTTAGGTGTTTTTAATCTAGAAACAAGTACCTTACAGGTGAGATTTTTTGCTCTTTCAAATTTGGCTAAGAAATAGTTGGTGTCGGTAGAGAGTCACTATAAAATTGACAGTGCTTTGAACAGAGGTCCTAACCTATCTGGGAACACATGATTGTGTCCTTTTGCCCTGCAGTATTTTGGGAATGCCAGTGGGATCTGCTCCTACTATGGGGGAAGAAAAAGAAGATCTGGAAGAGGAGAAAGGGGAGAAAGAGGATTCTCCTGATGATGTTGTACACTCCTTTGGTGCTGAAGGTATTGTATCTTGAAGGCCTTTTATAGAAGATTGCTCTGCATTTCTTTCTTTCTTTCTTTCTTTCTTTCTTTTTTTTTTTAGTCTTCTTTGGACAGGCAGAGTGGACAGTGAGAGAGAGAGACAAAGAGAAAGGTCTTCCTTTGCCGTTGGTTCACCCTCCAATGGCCGCTGCGGCCGGTGTACTGCGGCCGGCGCACCGCGCTGATCCTAAGGCAGGAGCCAGGTGCTTCTCCTGGTCTCCCATGGGGTGCAGGGCCCAAGCACTTGGGCCATCCTCCACTGCACTCCCTGGCCACAGCAGAGAGCTGGCCTGGAAGAGGGGCAACCGGGACAGAATCCGGTGCCCCGACCGGGACTAGAACCCGGTGTGCCGGTGCCGCAAGGCAGAGGATTAGCCTAGTGAGCCGTGGCGCCGGCCTGCTGTGCATTTCTTTAACATGAGCATGCACATGTCTAAATTTATTTGATTTATCATGGTATAAACTTTCCATAATTAAATTGAGAGTTACAAGAAATTTAAGTATTCTGTGTAATTTGATGTTTAGGAATTTGTAGCTTATTGGGTAGCCCACTCTGTATATCAACTTGTGCTCCTTTTTATTTGACTTCCAAATATGTTTGAAATGTGTGTTTTATGGGTTGGAGTATAATCTGAATTGTTAGAGGTGCAGTTTGTGAGTGATAGGAATCTCATTATTTGAGTCATCACCTCTGTCAGGGTGTCTGTATTGTAGGAAGCTGAGTCAGGAGCTAGAGCTGAAAATTGAACTCAGGCATTCTAATGTGGGACATAAGAGTCTTAACCACTAGGCTAAACACCTGTCTCCCACCCTCCCCCATTTATTTTAAATGTATTTATTCTTGATTTGGAAGGGGGGTGGATTTGGAAGGCAGGGCTTTGATAGGAAAGGTTTATTTAACATAAGGCTTTTGTAGAGGGCCTACAACTTACTTATTGATAGTATTGTGGGATGGTACCTAATTTCTTAGAGTTTTGTTCCTAGAACCTGCCTCATCACAGTTGGGCTTTGGGGTTCTGGAGCTTTCCCAAAGCCAGGATGTTGAAGAACTTCCTGTGCCATGTGAAGTGGACAGAGAACATCTACAGTCGGTGACCACCAACTCTTACACCAGATTATCTGATGCGGATGCGAATACTGGTATGAAACACGTTTTCTGGTATTTGGGTTGTTTGTAAGTGTTTTCCTCCCGTGCTAGAGCTCGTTATTTTTTCCTCAATAAGTGACATAACTATCCCATGCAAGTACTAACCAGGCCTGACCCTGCTTAGCTTCTGAGATAATACGAGATCTGGCATATTCAGGGTGGTATGGCCATAGACGAAGTTAAATAACTAAGTTAATGTAATCTAATGTAGTTAAGTTGCAGAGACTCATAAATACTTGTCAATTGATGACTTGCCAATTGAGGTTTCTGTAAATAGGTAATTGGTTAATTCCTTTTTGGAATGATGCCTGAATATATTTTTTAATTAGACTTCTGTTAATTTGTAATTGCTTCTAGTACTTTGAAAAATTAGAGTTCTCTTCTCTGTTTTCTGAAACTTCCAGCAATTAAACATGAAGAACAATCTAATGAAGATATCCCTGTGGCAGAACAGTCCAGTAAAGACACTCTTGAGACAGCACAGCCCAGTAAGAATGTACATGTGGTAGAAGAGCAAAATTCGCCACCTACAAGGTAAAAACCATGATCTTTGTAACAGGTATTTATGGCTTTTTGCTTTCGGGTTATACTGATTTCATTTTGCCAGGTGGGAATAGTTTGTAGAATATTTTTTCCCTTGTATTGGGCATATTTATGGTCTAATAGAAAGCACTGATTACATAATAACATTGATCATTTATGATGCCTCATTGTGTTTTCATCTTAAGTTAGGCATTCTACAAAGCTGTTTCATTACTGCTGTAACTATAGACATGGCTTTTTATTCTTGCCATTTGTTCTTTGCAATTTTCATCTACAGAGTTTCTCTGTGGGAGGTCTTTGTAATTTCTCTGTTATGAGGAGTCACATGAATATTATGTTTGAGAGCATACTATTTCTGTACTAGAGGAGCACCCAGATTGTTGTATGTCCTGAGTTATCCTACATCTGGTGGCTTACAGGTATAGGAAGTGTGCCAGGTCGTGTAGGTTCTTAATTTGATAGGAATCAGAAGCATACCTCTGATCTGTCTGTGGTGATCATTGTGTTCAGAATCACATTGCTTCTGGCCAACAGCTGAAGTTTGGATGTGGTGGTGGAAAACTGGGATGGTTCCAGTTTGGAAAGGGAATGAATAAACCTTTAGTATTTTGTTTATTCTTTTATAGACAGTGGGGAGTAGAACAAGGTTCTCTTGAACAAGGTTGAGTGTCAGGAGAAATTGTCTTTCTAATGTGAAACGCTTAGCTTAACAGTGGCTAACGTTTTAGGCTTTTCTTTAGGATGTTAGGGTTCAGCTAGTTTTGCTATCTTTTTTACCATGGGGAGTGGGAAAACAGGTGGCTCTTGTAAGTGTCTGAGAAGGGGCCAGTAGTGAGTGTCTCATGTGTGTAAGTTGTATTGGTGTGAAGGAGTCTTGGTTTGGAGTATGGGTTGTGGAGATCAAACGGAAAAAATAAGCAGAAGGTAACATGTCATCAGCACAGAGGATAGTACACAAAGCGCTTTGTTGGTACTGCTATATATATATTTTTTAAGATTTATTTATTTTTATTTGAAAGAGTTACATAGAGAGAAGGAGAGGCAGAGAGAGAGAGAGAGTCAGAGAGTCTTTCATTGCTGGTTCACTCCCTAATTGGCTGCAACTGCTGGAGCTGCACCAATCCAAAGCCAGGAGCTTCTCTGGGTCTCCCACGTGGGTGCAGGGGCCTAAGGACTTGGGCCATCTTTTACTACTTTCCCAGGCCACAGCAGAGAGCTAGATCAGAAGTGGAGCAGCTGGGACTTGAACCTGTGCCTATATGAGATGCCTGCACTGCGGACAGTGGCTTTACCAGCTATGCCGCGGTGCCGACCCCCTGGTACTGCTATTTTTACTTCCACTGTGGTAGTCTGGATCAGATTCCCTTGTACAAATCTAGATAATAAAGTATGTAACAAAAATCCTCAAGACACTCATCAGAAATTATGGAAAGCATGCAACACAGCAGTGAGCAGTGTTGAAAGTACTGCTGGGGTCAGCGTTGTAAGGTACTGGATTAAGCAGCTGCCTGCGACACCAGCATCCAGTATGGGCACCCGGTGGAGTCCTAGCTGCTCCACTTCCAATCCAGCTCCCAGCTAATGAGCCTGGGAAAGCAGCAGAAGATGACCCAAGTGCTTGGGCCCCTGCACTCATGTGGGAGATCTGGAAGAAGCTCCAGGCTTCAGCCTGGCCCTGCCTCGGCTATTGTGGCCATTTGGGGAGTGAGACAACAGATGGAAAATCTCTCAGCCGGTGCTGCGGCTCAATAGGCTAATCCTCCGCCTGCGGCGCTGACACCCTGGGTTCTAGTCCCGGTCGGGGCGCCGGATTCTGTCCCAGTTGCCCCTCTTCCAGGCCAGCTCTCTGCTGTGGCCCAGGAGTGCAGTGGAGGATGGCCCAAGTGCTTGGGCCCTGCACCCTATGGGAGACCAGGATAAGCACCTGGCTCCTGCCTTCGGATCAGCGCGGTGTGGCAGCCATTGGAGGGTGAACCAACGGCAAAAGGAAGACCTTTCTCTCTGTCTCTTTCTCTTAGTCTCTCTTTCTCTCACTGTCCACTCTGCCTGTCAGAAAAAAAAAAAATCTCTCTTTGTTTTAAAGATTTATTTTTGAAAATCTGAGTTATACAGAGGGGGGAAAGAGAGAGAGAGGGAGAGATAGAGACAGAGACCAGAGAGAGAGAGAGAGAGAGAGAGAGCAGGGAGCTAGATTGGAAGTGGACCAGGTGGCTCTCAAACCAGCACCCATATGGGATGTTGGCATCACAGGCGGTGACTTAACCTGCTGCCACACCACCACACCGGCCTCTGGAGGATCTCTTCCTCAGTCTCTCCCTCTCTCTCTCTCTAACTCTTTCACATAAAAATAAATAAATAAATAAATCTTTGAGGCTGGTGCTGTGGCATAGTGAGTTAAGCATATGTCTGCAGTGCTGGCATCTCATAGGGGTGCTGGTTTAAGTCCTGGCTGTTCTACCTCTGATCCAGTTCCCTGCTGATGGCTTGGGAAAGCAGCAGAAGATGGCCCAAGTGCTTAGGACCCTGCACCCACATGGGAAACCCTAGGAAGCTCCTGGCTTCAGATACAGCCCAGCCCCAGCCGTTGCAGCCATCTGGGGAGTGAACCAGCAGATGGAAGACCTCTCTGTCTCTCTGTGACTATGCCTCTCAAGTGAAAAAAATAAGTCATTACAAAAAAAAAAAATCTTAAAAAGGAAAGGTAATGCAGTGTGTCAGACAAACAGTATTTGAAATGGGCTGAGGACTTTGTATCATTATGAACTACCTTTATTTCACTTTCAGTAGATAACTTGATTAGAGCTACTGGAATTTTTGGAATTATTAAAGAAAACACACTAACCAGGGAAAGCTACTTAAATTTAGCAACTTTTTCTCCTGGTGATATGAATCTCCTAGGTCAGAGGACATAACTTCTAGTCCCAAAGTATGTCTTGCTGCTATGGAAGCAAAAGAACAAATGTCTACTCAAGAACTTCTGGAAGGTGGACTGCAGATTCAGAAGTCACTGGAGCCTGAGATTTTGTCAACTCAGGAAGATTTGTTTGACCAGAGCAATAAAACAGGTACAAAGAGTGATTAGTTGCTATAGCTCCTCTAGACTAGATCTAGACTCATTTTAGTTCTGAGGCTACTGTTTAATTGAGAAAGCACTGTATAGGTATGCAGACGCACTGGTGCTATGTAATGAAGATGTATTTCTAACTAATCATTGAGAAAAGTTCTTGGGAATAATTACTTAACATTTTAATATAATTTCCTCTCTCTTTGAAATGGAGACATATAGTTAATATTGTAAACTTAGCATTATGGACAAAATAACCATTTCTTCTGTTATGAATTGTTTACTCAGTCTTTAAATCTTAAGTAAAGTTTAAGTTTTTCAAATTCACCTTGGTAGCAGTCTGCTTACCCATCTTTTTGTTATTCATCTATTACCAATAGGAAATTCATGTCTAGCAGAAAAGACAGAAAACTTAGAACACTAGAATGTGATTTGTTTCCCACTTCTTAAATCCCCACAAAGCTCCCATTCCACAACCTTGGAGAATTTTAGAAAGCATCAGTAATGACCCACACAGTGTAATGTGTTGCTTATATAGTGGGAAGGGAAGATTTTTACTGTACTATGATGTAGGTTGCTGTTCATGACATTCAGAGGGTCACCAAGAAACCTTTTTAATTCTTATTAAAGCTATAATGTTGTATTTAAGAAACTTCTTTACTTTTGGGATTAATGTAGTTGATTACTGCATCTATTGCTAACAAGAAGGGAGCAGTGGGAGTCTCTTCACAATGTACCTCAGTAATTGTTGCTCATAGATCCTTTTACTAATTAATGCATTAGTATTTTCTGCCTCCTTTGAGAAGGCCCAGGTTCTAATTATGAAAATTGCTGCATTCATATCATCAGGTGTCATGTGCTTTGTTTTGACTTTTCCCATCTGCTTCATGGCATGAGCTTTACTTCACTTTAGGTAGACCTGGATAAAAGGCTCACTTGCTGTTTTATAATAAAAGCATCATAAGAAAGAAGAGTAACCAAGCAGAGGTATAAAGATTCTGGTTTTTAATCCCCAAGCTTAGATCGTGACAGAAAGGACTAAGGAACTTTTTTAGTGAATTCCTTAATAAACCCATGATTTGGGGGAGGGTTAATGTTCACTCAAGATATGTAGTATTGTGGCATTCCATTAATTATACTCCAGTTAGAAAACAATTTCTACTCTCTTGGAATATGGTTGGAAATTCAGATATTATTCTCTTTGTAGTGCTGAGTGGTTATCTTTGGTAATTCAATAGTGTCAATCTGAGGAGTAAATGCAGCCAGATTTTCTTCATTCTTCACTAGCTTCTAATGATTGCTGTACTCCTACAAGAGGGGAAGGTGGGTGTTCTCTGGCTTCCACACCTGCAACCACTCTGCAACTCCTGCAGCTGTCTGGTCAGAGGTCTCTTGTTCAGGAGAGTCTTTCCACGTAAGTAAACCTGTAGTAACTTGGATCAGGCAACATGTGCATGAGGGTCTTAGGCTAAGGTTGAGTTAAGGTTGCCTGCTAGTCCACAATTCTTTTTGAAACCAAAAGGTAGATCCCAGGCTTCAGGGTTTTTGGGAGGGGAGCTTAGTGGGCTTATTGAAGGCAGATTTGTTTTCCCATTTGGAAGTTTTATGGTTTTAGGCCAAAAGTTTTTCTAGAGATAAAAATGCCTGATTTTTAAGAAAATGTTATACATCTGAAGCAAACCTCTGCTCCTGAATTTTTCTAACAACTTTTCCAATTTAACAGTATAAAGTGGGGAATAGATTGTTACAGTTGATAGTAGTTGTATTTCTTTATCTCAGTGTCAGGGCAGAGGGGTTTGCTATTTTGTTTTTGTTTTAAATAAAAATGTGCAGAGTTTTTTTTTTTAGCTTTATTTATTTTGAAAATCATATTTAAGAGAGGGAGAGAGGGGAGAAAGAGAGTAAGGGAGGAAGGGTGGAAGACAGATTGATCTTCCTTCTGCTGGTTCATTCCCCAAATGGCTGCAACAGCTAGGACTGGGCCAGTCCAAGCCAAAGCCAGGAGCCAGGAGATTCATCAGGGCTCTCATTGTTGGTAGCAGGGGCCCAGGCACTTGGACCATCTTTTGCTGCTTTTCCCAGGCCACCAGCAGAAAGCTGGATTGGAAGTGGAGCAGCCAGGACACAAAGTGGCACCCATATGGGATGGCAGTGTCATAAGCAGTGGGTTTACCTGCTATATTGTAAAACCAGCCCTCTGAGTTTTCTTATTAGGCGAAAATGGAGTAATTTTTTTTTGACAGGCAGAGTTAGAGAGAAAGGTCTTCCTTTTCTGTTGGTTCACCCCCCAAATGGCTGCTACGGCTGGCGTGCTGCGCTGATCCAAAGCCAGGAGCCAGGTGCTTCCTCCTGGTCTTCCATGCAGGTACAGGGCCCATGCACTTGGGCCATCCTGCACTGCCTTCCCGGGCCACAGCAGAGAATTGGACTGGAAGAGGAGCAACCAGGACAGAATCCGGCTCCCCAACTGGGACTAGAACCCGGGGTGCAGGTGTTGTAGGCGGAGGATTAGCCTAGTGAGCCACGGCACCAGCCAGGAATAATTTTTTATATCTCAAATTTGCAAATGAATTTTTTTTTGCACTTGTTCGTACTGCTTGTCAATTATGTTGTCCTTGCATCTGGTCATTCACTTTGCCCTTATGATTTTTAAAAATTTATATTTTAGAAATGTCAGGTGTGGGAAACAGTTGCAGCCTCAGGGGGCTGTTTGGGAGAAATGGTAAATATTTATCTAAATGACTTATATATTTTTGCTTTTAAGTAAAAACAAGTACAGAAACTGTGGCTATGGTAAGAAATAACCTGTGGTTCTCTTTTTATATAAAGGAATTCCTCAGATCTTGTTGCTCCTTCCCCTGATGCTTTCCGGTCTACCCCTTTTATCGTTCCTAGCAGTCCCACAGAGCAAGAAGGGAGAAAAGGTGAGCTCTCTTGTTCTGTCAATCTCAGATTAGAGGAGGAGCAGCACTGCTTCTGCTTTGTACTTGAACAGCGTGACCTACTCTGTTCTGTAGAACTCAGTGTTTGTCTAACCTTCAGGGACATGGGCTAGTGTAAAGTGCTTCCTTGGTTCATGATTTTTTTTTTTAGTGTGGATTCTTCTGAGATTTTTGTATTGTTGACACAAATAAAATGTTCCTTAAAGGAAAATTTTTATGTTTTTAAAATTGAACTTCAGTGAAATAGTATGGTGAAGAATTAGAGTTACTACTCATGACCTAGTAGTTTCCAGCAGTATGTTAGCATGTTTCTGGTGAGAGGGAACTAACAGGTGTTTCTTATGCTGTTTGTAGGTTATTTTGGTTATTACTACAATAGTTGTAGCTAATGAGTAGTTAGGAGCAGGTGATACAAATTTTAATTTACTCATTTGCTCCTTTGAGGGTTTAATTTTACATTATTAATTGACTAGAAAGCTTTCCTTCTCACCTACTTTGTCTTATTGCCTAAACCTAACTTTTTCTTTGCTCTCGGTCTCTTGTCCAGTCATGTAAAATAATTTCTAAGTTATTATTTCTGTGAAGCCTTTTCAATAATTCTATGATTTTCCCTTTTTCATTCTTTTATATAACAGTGTGGTTCAGTAACTTATATTATTGAGCACTTAGTATATGCCAGCCAGGGATTGAAATGTTTTCTTGAGTTCTAGCTGTTTCTCTCTTTGTGTATGTGTATGTGTATGTGTTTGTGTTTTTCTTCATTGCATACTCAGAATAATCCTAAGAAGCAGGTGAAGAAACGGAAGCACAGGGATTTCACAGCTAAAAAGGTATAGAGGCAGGATTTGAACTGAAGCAGTGCCTCCGGAGCCTGTGCTCTTTTTGTTGTGTTTCTATCCTGAATGATATCCTACTGTCTCTGCTCTTGAGTGATGTAAATAAATACATTTAACTATTTTCCAAGTGTAATTTATCTATGACAAATTTGTCCTAGATATCCTCCTCCTACAAATTTTGTCTCTGGCTATTTTCTTTTGAAATTGGTTATAGATTTCTGGAAGACTAATACCATCTTAAGCATAACATTAGTGACATCCTGAGGAAAAAAAAACTGGCTAATTTTTGAAATTAAAGATTGGTTTATTTATTTTGGAAGAGTTACAGAGAAAGAGGGGGAGAGACAGACAGAAACAGAGAGGGATATGTTGCATCTGCTGGTTTACTCCCCAGATGGTTGCAATGACAAGGGCTGGGCCAGGCTAAAGCCAGGATCCAGGAGTTTCATCCAGTTCTCCCTCATGGATGGCAGAGGGCCAAACAGTTTTTTCCATCTGTAGTATGAATACGGGAAAAAAGAAAAATAATGGTATTAAAAATGCTTTCACTGGGCCAGCATTGTGGTACAGCAAGTTAAACCACTACCTGCAGGTGGCGGCTTTACCTGCTATACCATAACGCCAGCCTCTACATGCTTTTTATATATATATATATTTTTTTTTTTTGCTGTCTAAGATTAACAGTCAGAAGCATTTTTACATGTAGTGGCTAAAACAAAGGGCTGTTAATGTGCTTTGTCATGGCAAGAAAGGTCAAAAGGTACAGTGAAATTACTGAACACAGCTGTGGTAGTGGATTAAAGGCCTCTAGCACATCTGATTTCAAACTAGTGTTAGAGAGTAATGTGGGAGGTGATGGCCACGCTAAACAGCAAGAGTAGCTATTGAGGTTGGAAGTGTGGGTAGCCAGTAGCATGAAAGTAGATTCTTGGGAAAACTAAGTGGCACAAGTAGTTTGTGAGTGGTCTAGAGGAAGCTGAGCTCGAGTCAAGTTGTAAGATAGAGGAAATAGCTTGATGAGTTGAATACCTATCTAGCAAGACAGGTTCCAAGGAACAGTGTTTTGTATTTTGTACGTGTTCCCTCCTGGGCAGTTTGTGCTAGAACCAGCATCCTCTTAGTTCTTTGATTTAAATTAGTGCTGGTTGGCATCAACAAATTTTTTTCTTCCTTTGTATTTGTATTGGCATTTCTCTGCACTTAGCAATTATTAATGCAAATAAAATGAGTTCATAAATATGTTAAAATATTTACTTAGCGTGGTGAACAAGTTTGCTACTTTTCAAAATTTGTGGCAGAATATATAGTTGTTAAACTAATGGCATTAGGGGTCCGGCGCCGTGCCTCACTTGGTTAATCCTCCACCTGTGGCACCGGCATCCCATATGTGCCCCGGGTTCTAGTCCTGGTTGCTCCTTTTCCAGTCCAGCTCTCTGCTGTGGGCCAGGAGGGCAGTGGAGGATGGCCCAAGTGCTTGGGCCCTGCACCCGCATGGGAGACCAGGAGGAAGCACCTGGCTCCTGGCTCTGGATCGGCCCAGCACTGGCCGTGGCGGCCATTTGGGGAGTGAACCAACAGAAGGAAGACCTTTCTCTCTGTCTCTCTCTCTCACTGTTTATAACTCTGTCAAATAAAACAAAACAAAACAAAACAAAACTAATGACATTAATATGACCATTCCTACACAAAATGTGAAAAACTGAGCTATAGTCAGGAAAGGAGTTTAGAGGAGCCAATCTACCATTTCTTATAGAAGGTGTGGCTATCCCCAGATGAACACTAGTAATTGGGGCTGCCCCACCCCCAGGAGAAGGAAGTATTGCTGGGATACAGTTTGCTATTATTCTGTCAGCTTTTCTGAAAATTAATTTGTAATGTAATTGTTGGTGGTAATGCTGGAACATGAGTAGTAATAGTGAGTGATTATTTCTTTGTCTTTTCTGTCTTAAACCAGATGAGCCAATGGATATGTCAGTGCTAGCTGAAGAGGGAGGTGCTCCATTTCAGAAGCAACTCCAGGATGATGAACCAATGGAAATAGAAAACCCACCTCTCCCACCTAAGCCTGCTGTGTCACCACAAGCCTCAACACCAGTATCTCAGAGTACACCAGTCTTCACTCCTGCATCACTTCCTATCCCATCCCAGCCTGAGTTTTCTCATGTGAGTATTGTAGGTAGAATTTTCCCTTCAAACAACTTTATTTAGGTATAATTCACAAACCATAAAATAGACCCATTTTATCTGTACAATGTAAATTTTCTGAAGTATCACTGAAGAGTTGTACAGTTGTCATTACAAACCAGTTTTAGAACATTTCCAGTTATCTAGCATCTCCATGCACTTAAAATTATTTATTTTCATTTATTTGAAAGGCAGTGGAGAGTGTGACAGAAAGAGAATATCCATCTGCTGGTTTACTCCCCAGATACCCCAGTAGCCAAAGCTGTGCTGGCTGAAGTCAGAAGCCTGGAAAACAGTCCAGGCCTCCAGTGTGGGTGGCTGTAACTCAAGTACTTGAGCTGTCATCTGCTTCCTCCCAGATGTGTTAGCAGGGAGCACATAGAAGTGGAGTAGCTGCAACTTAAAAGGCAGTCAAGTTCCCAAGCTGCAGCTTAACTCTCAGTCACCACAATGCTTTCCCCTACCATACAGCATCTTTTTTTTTTTAGCTTTTTTTTCCAAATTATATGTGAACATATATAGTTAAAGGATAAACTGTAAGCGCTGACATAGAGTACTGATAAGAATTTTATAGAAAATATAGCTGATATTAAAGTTACAGATGTTTATCCGAGACTTTCATGGGAACGCATGTCTTTGCAAAGGTATCCCTAGCAGTGGGGGAAAATGATGCCTAGCCACAAAGAAAGATCTGACTTTTGGATGAACAGGCTCTTTTGAAGAAATTGCTGTACCTTCAACATTTACTACAGACCATCAGAAGCAGCTATAAAACTAGCAATGAAAATTTGAGACAAAGGCATGATTCTGAACCAATCTAAGATTGCTGGAACTCAAGATAACTAGTCAAATTTCTTTGGGCTCACGTTTTAAGATGCCTCAACCACTGCAGGCCATGCCTGCTGAATAATGTCTCAAGAGTTCCTTTTTTTGACAGGCAGAGTGGGCAGTGAGAGAAAGAGACAGAGAGAAAGGTCTTCCTTTCACCGTTGGTTCACCCTCCAATGGCTGCCGCGGCTGGCGCACTGCGCTGATCCAAAGCCAGGAGCCAGGAGCTCTCCTGGTCTCCCATGCGGGTGCAGGGCCCAAGCACTTGGGCCATCCTCCACTGTACTCCCGGGCCACAGCAGAGAGCTGGCCTGGAAGAGGGGCAACCGGGACAGAATCCGGCGCCCTGACCGGGACTAGAACCCGGTGTGCCGGCGCCACAAGGCGGAGGATTAGCCTAGTGAGCCATGGCGCCGGCCCTCAAGAGTTCCTTTATGGTATATCATTTTAAGTTAAGGGCTTGATTTTACTTTATTTATAAGCAGTTAAAACAAGACCTCTTTGCACTTCTGCTCTGAGATAACCCTTGTCAGTTTTTTCAATTTTCTTTTTTAATATTTCTTCATAATTATAGATGGAACAGTTAAATTTTCACAAATTCTACTGTAGAAAAAATTTGTCACTTCCTATTTTCCAAATAGTTATGTAAAATGTTCAGTTTATTATTATGAGTTAATATTATGGTCATTTACACAATGGTCAGAGGGGCTGATGTGGTGTAGTGGGTATAGTCACCACCTGCAACATTGGCGTTCTTATGGATGCCGGTTTAAGTCCTGGCTGTTCCACTTTTTTTTTTTTTTTTTTTTAAAGATTTATTTATGGCTGGCGCCGCCACTCAATAGGCTAATCATCCGCCTGTGGCGCCGGCACCCCGGGTTCTAGTCCCGGTGGGGGCGCCAAATTCTGTCCCGGTTGCTCCTTTTCCAGTCCAGCTCTCTGCTGTGGCCCAGGAGTGCAGTAGAGGATGGCCCAAGTCCTTGGGTCCTGCACCCACATGGGAGACAAGGAAAAGCACCCGGCTCCTGGCTTTGGATCAGCGCGGTGCACCAGCTGCAGCGGCCATTGTCGGGTGAACCAATGGAAAAGGAAGACCTTTCTCTCTGTCTCTCTCTCTCACTTTCCACTCTGCCTGTCAAAAAAAAAAAGATTTATTTGAAAAGCAGAGCTACAGAGAGGCAGAGGCAGAGAGAGCGGGAGATCTTCCATCCGCTGGCTCACTTCCCAGATGGCCACAACAGCTGGAGCTGCACTGATCTGAAGCCAGGATCCTGGAGCTTCCTCCAGGTTTCCCAGGTGGGTGCAGGGACCCAAGGACTTTGCCCATTTTCTGCTTTCCCAGGCCATAGCAGAGAGCTGGATTGGAAGAGGAGCTGCTGGGACTAGAACCAGCGCCCATATGGGATGCCCATATGGCACTTTAGGCTGCGGCTTTATCCATTATGCCACAGCACCGGCCCCTGTTACACTTCTGATCCAACTCTGCTAACGTCCTGGGAAAAGCAACGGAATATGGCACAGGTGTTTGGGCCTCTGCTACCCATGTAGCCCTGGCCCCCCCTCCTTCCCCTTTCCCTCTTCCTCTCTCTCTATTTCTGTAACTCTGGCTTTCAAATAAATAAATATTAAAAATAAATAAATACCATTCACAGCATACCCTGTGGAACATTATTTTTCAATGTTTGCACACTTTAAAAACTTTTTAATGCAATTGTTTCTTTTCTATTTTTATTTACTTTTGAACCATAATATTTACTTATTTATTTGAAAGATAAGATGACAAGAAAGAGAGTGAGACAGAGAGAAAGAGGGAGAAAGAGATATCTTCCATCTGCTGGTTCACTCCTCAAATGACCATAATGGCTGGGGCTGGGCCAGGCTGAAGCCAGTAGCCTAGAACTCCATCTGGGTCTTTGATGTGGGTGGCAGGGCCCAAGAACTCAGGGCGTCTTCTTGGCTGCTTTCCCAGGCACATTAGCAGGGGGCTAGTGAAGGTGGAGCAGCTGGGACTTGAACTTTTGCTCATGGGATGCTGGCATTGAATGCAGTGGCTTAACCTGCTGCACTACAACACTGGCCCCAGTTGTTAATTTTCTTAATTTGTTTTGTTTTTTTGACTCCTTGCTTAATCTACCCGACTTTCCACCAGTTGTCAGAATCTCCATTCAGAATATTCAGATGCCTCAGACTTTATTTTTTATCTTTTTGGACAAAACTCATTTGGGCCTCCTGATTTATTTATTATTTCTAATTACTATTATTTTTTAATTTGAGAGAGAAAGCAAACTGCTCTCCTGCTTCATTCCCTAAATGCTCACAGTGACCCAGGCTAGGTGGTGTTGAAACTGGGAACCAGAAACTCAATCCAGGTCTCCCTTGTGGATGGTAGGGAACTAACTACTTGAGCTAGGTAACTACATGAGGCTTCCTGCTTCCCAGGACCTGCATTAACAGGAATTTGGAATCAGGAACAAAGTTGGGAACCTTAACCATTAATCCAAATGCCCTGCCCTCTTTCCTGGTTTCTAATCTGTACTGGTGCCTTCTTTTCTTGGTGATTGATATGTCTCTTGCCTGTTGCCCTTGAAGATTGTCTTTGCTTGCCTTTGTGTGGGTAGATAGCTCTTGAACTCCATACTTTCTTGCTTAGTTTATGTTCTCATTTTGGATTACATTTTCTAGTAGCCTTTATTCCATTCTCATCCTTTGTTTGTGGTTTTTAGGAGTATAGAATTCTAGATTGTTAATACTTTTTCTTTAAAGTTTTTGAAGGTGTTGCTCAGTTTTTGAATGCCCAATACTGCTGTTGAGAAGCGTGATACCAGTCTGTTCCTTTCTTTTTGGTGTAGCAATTATCACTTTGGACACTTGGGTTCCCTCTCAGAGTTTCTAGGTCTGGGTCCTGGCACTGCTCCTATTTTCTTTTTTTTTAAGATTTATTTTATTATTTGAAAACAGAGTTACAGAGAGAGAAACAGAGTGAGAGGTCTTCCATCCACTAGTTTACTTTCCCAAATGGTTACGGCTGGCACCGTGGCTCACTAGGCTAATCCTCCGCCTTGCGGCGCCGGCACACCGGGTTCTAGTCCCGGTCGGGGCGCTGGATTCTGTCTCGGTTGCCCCTCTTCCAGGCCAGCTCTCTGCTGTGGCCAGGGAGTGCAGTGGAGGATGGCCCAAGTGCTTGGGCCCTACACCCCATGGGAGACCAGGATAAGTACCTGGCTCCTGGCTTAAGATCATCGCGATGCGTCGCCACGGTGACCATTGGAGGGTGAACCAACGGCAAAGGAAGACCTTTCCCTATGTCTCTCTCTCGTCCACTCTGCCTGTCGCAATTTACACTCAATATCAGCGCAAAAAAACAAAAAAAAAACCACAAACTCCCAAATGGCTACAACAGGGAGCCAGGAGTTTCTCCCTGGTCTGCTCCTCAGGTGCACGGGCCCAAGGAGTTGGCCATCCACTGCTGCTTTCTCAGGCGCATTAGCAGGGACCTGGATCAGAAGCAGAGTAGTCGGGACTTGAACTGGTGCCCATATGGGATGCTGGCTCTGCAGGTAGGGGCTTTAACCTGCTGTGCCACAGTGCCAGTCCCTGGCACTGCTTCTGATTCTAGCTTCCTGCTAATGTGTACCTAGTAGGTGATGGTTGAAGTAGTTGAGTCCCTGCCATCCATGTAGGAGACCTGAATTGAGTTCTAGGCTCTTGGCTTTGGCCTGCTTCAGCAGCCTAGGCTGTTGTAGGCAGTTGGTGAGTGAACCAACAGATGAAAGATCTCTGTCTCTGTAAAATCAACAAAAATAAATTTTAATAAGTTCATAGGAAATGTGTGTTATGAAGAAACTACAAATGGATTAAAAAAAGAAAAGTGACCAGGGCCAGTGCTGTGGTGTAGTGGGTAAAGCCACCACCTGCAGTGCTGGCATCCCATATGGGCACCAGATCAAGTCTTGGCTGATCCACTTCCAATTCAGCTCTCTGCTAAGGCCTGGGAAAGCAATGGAAGATGACCCAAGTCCTCAGGCCCCAGCACTGCCATGGGAGACCTGGAAGAAGCTCCAGGCTCCTGGTATCAAATCAGCTCAGCTCCTGTTGAAGCCACTGGGGGAATGAACCAGTGGATGGAAGACCTCTCTCTCTCTGTCTTTGCC